TATCTTTGTGGAGCGGCCAGCGCCGCCCCGAAAGGAGAGATAGATGGTCAGAATACGGAACTTGATAGCAATTTGTATAAATGATTACTTTCTAGGCTCCGTAGGAGGCACAAACAAAATGAAGGTATGAGACGTTCGGAAGAATAACCCTTCTCCTCAGAAAGATGATTGTAAAGTATAATGATTAGAACTACCACGAGTGTGAACCTCCTCCCATCTTTCAGGGACGCGAAGGACCTGCCGGACCCAAGGGCGAGGAGGGCAAGCCAGGGCTCCAGGGATCCCCGGGCATTCGTGGCCCGATCGGTCCGCCCGGCCCCAAGGGCAACGCCGGCCCACCCGGCTTCCCCGGCGCCGTGGGAGAACCCGGCAAGCAAGGGCCTAAGGGCAACCCCGGCAAGGACGGCGACGACGGCAAGGTCGGAGAGCCAGGGCCCCCCGGGGAGCCCGGCTCACCCGGCCAGATGGGGCTCCCGGGCAGCAACGGAAAGCCGGTACGAGCGCCGCTCATCCCTTCGTCTTTTCTTTCGTTTCATTATTTGACTCTACTTTTATTAGTTTATTTGTTATTATTTGCGTGTGTACCCATGTGTTTTCGTTCTGTCTATTTTTGCTTAATATATTAATGTTTGTTTAGATGACTGCATTTACTGTAATAATTTTTCTTCTGCTCGTGTTTATTTACTCAGCCTCTAACTTTGCAATGGGTTTCTCGTCGGCTAACAGCACTTGAGCGGCTTTTGAGCATCATCAAATCTTGCCGCCAAGATTCCCGGGGCGATGGGTCGGGCAATACGTACTCATCGTTTTCCGACTTTTCCAGGGTCCTGAGGGGCCGGCTGGCGTGCAGGGGCCCCCAGGGCAGCCGGGAGAGAAAGGAGACACGGGCACGACTGGACCTGTGGGGCCTCCGGGTGCCACTGGGCCCCAGGGTCTTCCTGGACCTGAGGGGCTGCCTGGCTTGCGAGGATCTCCTGGACCTGCTGTGAGTAGCTCGGCCATTTCTGCCAAACTGGGAGGATATGTAGTGTCAGGGAGAGAGAGAGAGAGAGAGAGAGAGAGAGAGAGAGAGAGAGAGAGAGAGAGAGAGAGAGAGAGAGAGAGAGAGAGAGAGAGAGAGAGAGAGAGAGAGAGAGAGAGAGAGAGAGAGAGAGAGAGAGAGAGAGAGAGAGAGAGAGAGAGAGAGAGAGAATGTGTATTTGTGTGTGCGTACGTCGACTTTAGTTGATAGTGGAAATTACGTAAGCCTAAAAGCGATTGTCTTCCGCCAGGGCGACCTGGGTCTTCCGGGCAAGGACGGAGCCCCAGGGCAACCAGGTCTTCCAGGTCTCCCGGGTCTCAAGGGCCAGAAGGGCTCCCGAGGCCGCCGCGGGCCGAAGGGACACCGCGGAGAGATCGGCATTTCCGGCCCCAAGGGCGACATGGGCGAGAAGGGCGAGCCCGGCAAGAACGGGCCGCAAGGTCCATCTGGCTTCAAGGGCGAACCCGTGAGTGCCGCAGCCTGGCTGTTGTTGTCGGGCTTTCGCTTTATAACGTCATGATTCATTAGATCCTTGTTGCTCACTGTTGCTTTGTTGATTTTGTCTGATTTCATGTCAGTTTCATGCTTAACGCTTGGCCTTCATAGATTTTTTCATCGTCTGTTAATCCCATACTGTATTGCTGACATTCGTTTTCTCTGTGGATTAGGGGCCTTTGGGCATCTTAGGCATGAAGGGTTCGGATGGACCCCAGGGTCTGCCAGGTGACATCGGACCTCCCGGGCCCAAGGGCGTGCCTGGAGCAACTGGCCCCAAAGGAGAACAGGGTCCTTCAGGTCCTCCAGGTCCTCCGGGTCCTCCAGGAGAACTGCCGTTGCTTCCTCCGGAGCTCCTCTTCCAGCGCGATGCTCCCTACGATCCTGACGACTCTGGCCGCTTCAAGAGGTCGCCAAGGTGAGTGCTGGCCCTTGGTTTAGGCTGAACCTGCGGCCTAGAGGAAAGGTGGCCCTTCCCCGCCGAGGAGGTCGGGGAGGTCGCGAGGTCCTCCCTCGCTCCCGACTCGCTCTCCGGGAAGGGTGGTCGCAGGCGGGATTCACGAGGCACGATTGAGTCGTAGTTTTGATATTCTTATACATGCTGTTTCTCTTTTTGAGATGTAGATTTTTGTCTTTAGACATTTCGCAATCTAGGTGAAATCATACCAAATGCAAACTCACTTAAGTGAAAAGGACAGCAAGAGGGATACCGAAGAAGATAGTATGTTTTCACTCTCTGCGGAGTCGAGATTTGCGACAAGGATAAAGTGACTGACCTAAGGGTTGTTACAGAGGCTCGGACGACTGTAGGATAGGCGAAGTGTGTGACGACACCCCTGAAGATGACATCTCCCCCTCAGTGCCCGCTGGGGGGAGAGGTCGAGCAGGTGGTAGGAGACGCAGACCACCCTCAGCCGTCCCAGTGGATAGGTGAGTGCAGGGACTCCTCGGATGGGCCCTCCTGCAACACCCTGGAATGAAGCACAATTCTTACCCCCTACTA